ATAATTTTTTGATGTAGACTTTGTACTTCTTTCATAGACATAGGATTAGTATTTCTATAGTTGGTGCTTGTGATGTGTGAAATTTCTACTCTGAGAGTATTAACAACTTCTTAATGATCAACAATAGCTACAAATCTATTTTTACTTTTACCAAGTATAGCATCCATGATATTTCCTTCCATTTCAATTAACTTAACAAATCCACAAGTCAAATTAAAATAAGATAATCTACAACCTTTAATATTAAATAAAAATTTCCATGAAGAAAGATAATTTGCTCTCTTTAAAGAAGATATTAGTATGAAAAAACTAAACAATTTGTTTAAATGTAGATAATCTGAAATCTTCAAAACACAACAATAGAAGTAGAATAATCCACTCAATTCTTAAATAAAAACAAGAATAATGAGTTAGCACTCTTGTCAAATTGTCAAGGACATAAATCTATAAGAAAGAAATTCTAAAAACACTCTTATGTCACTCAAAAAGACTAAAAAATCACTCAAATGTGATATAATATTAAACTAGAATGGTTATTGTTAAAGATAAGAAGACTAGAACGTCTTGAAACAAGACTAAGAACTAGAAAGGTATTGACAAAAGTGAAGAAGGCTTCATTCTTGCTTCCATATATACTCTTAACTAAAAGCTATATGGCAATGTTGTATATGACCTCCAATACGTGTAGACTTTGCAAGACACATATCTTAACTTATAAGGAAGTTTTTTTATTTATATGCCACATAATTAACTTGTTCCACAAGCTTTTCACACTTGGTTAACTTGTTGACCAAGTTTCTAATCTACCAATTAACTACAAATACATGTAAAGTCAAAGTAGCATCTATGAAGCTTTTAGGAAGTCTTTCTAGAAAAAATTGTGAAATAAATATACTTTTATTTATTTTTATTTAATCATATAGATAAATATTAGAATAAATATTTATGTTCGTGATACAATATCAAGAATATATGTCCTTATGACAAGTTGGAGTATTGTAGGCTTGGACCTTTTCTTATTTGTGAACAAGTCAATCTTGTTGTTTATTAATTACATCTATCAAAGTCTATAAAGATCCATTCCATATTCCACATGTTTTTTTTTAAGCCAGATATAACAATGAATATCTCAAAAAGAAGAAATCTTATTCATTGGAGCAAATATGATATTAACAAATGTATATAAGAGCTAATAAAGAATCTTGTAAATGCACCAAAGAAAGTTGAGGCTTTTCATTGACAACATATATAAATACCAAGATAAAAAAAATTTAAAAAATTAAAAAAAATACTATAAAAGAATAAGACTATGAAGACAATATTTTATCTTCTACTATTATTTGTAGCTTTTGTATATTTGTAGCGCTAAGGAAATGGAGAACTAAGAATCAGTAAATTCAACTCAAGAGCTATTGTTTGCTAACTTATTAGACAAGATATTGCAATTGCCACAACCTTCAAGATGACATAATCGAGATAAAGATCTTTGAAAACAACATGTCCTTCTTTGAATAAATAGAAAAATACAATAAGTTTGATATCACGACCTTAGAAGAGACTCTTAATTTTTAGTGATTTTATTAGAAGTAAAAACAACTTTTGATAGTCTTTCTAATGTTTTATTTTAAAAGAATTAAAAAGAATTTAACAATGATTAAATAATAGATTGGTCTTCTTATTCTTATATGAGATACTTTCAATGGTTGAAAAGACTTATCAATCATTTTTGAAGAAAAAAAAAATCACAATATATAACACATACAATTTGCTATATCTTGAATTTCTTCAACATATGATGACTGCTCCTCGTAGAACTTGTTCCTAAAAGAGGAGATAATTTCATGGATATATGTATTTATTCTAATAATTACCTATATAATTAGACAGAAGTAGATAAAATATATTAATTTCATAATATCTTCTAGAGAAGCTTTGTTAAAGCTTTATAGATGCAATTTTGACTTTACATGTGTTTGTAGTTGATTGATAGGTTAAAAACTTGGTCAACAAATTAACCATGTGTCACATGTGTTGGTAGCTTGTAGAACAAGTTAACTATGTGGTGTACATAAAAAAAACTTCTCTTATAAAATACAATATATGTCTTGCAAAGTCAATACATGTTAGAGATCCTATAGATTATTGCCACATAGCTCTTAGCTAGATAGTATATATAGAAGCAAGAGTATAGTCTTCTTTACTCTTGTCAATATCTTTCTAATCTTTGGTCTTATTTCAAGACTTTTTAGTCTTCTTACCTTTGCCATTCTTGTTTAATATATTATCATCTTTGAATGATTATGTGATCTTTTCGATGGACACAAGAGTATCTTAATCTTTCAATTCTTCAAGATTTATGTCCTTGAAACCAAATTTTCAAATAAGGATAATAAGATAGACTAAGAGATCAACCATAACATGTTTGGAGATACATATTCCTTGTAATTTACACTCCTTAGATCTGCAACAACATTATGATCACATCTTCCACTGAGCTGCTTCATAGAGTGAATGACTAATAATAATTTGTTTATTCTTAAAAAAAATGCTCATCTTCTAGATAGAGATGTTATTTATGGCACTATTAGCTCTTCTTTTTGCTTCAGTCACAGAATTGGAATTGATGTAAAACCAACCACCTGAAATGATTAATAAATGAGTATAATAATAATTCACAAATATATTCTCTACTTATAGCCCACATAATAAGTGCGCCATACTTAATTCACAAATGCTGACATTTTAAATATCCATATATGTAAATGACTACTATAAACCAAGGCTTATAGTGTTTTGTACCATCATCCATGAACAAATCATGTGCTGAAATAACAAAATATCTTTTGAATTGACATAAAAGCAAGCTCAATAGAGTTGGTGCAATTATCTACACTGCAACATTTTTTTCAGCCCCTTTTCAATTACATCTGCATAATACTGCAAGCTTGGGAATAAGAAAACATCTTTTATCTCAACTACATGTAAATAAAATCTGATACAATTAAAATCCAATTGGTTCACATATTTTATTACATATGCTAAAACAAGAATTTATATAAGAATACTTGCAGAATGGTTTGTTATGGTTCTTACAAAATATATTTTGAATAGAATACATGCTTAATAAACATGATATCATTTGAATCTTACATCCTCCAAAATAAGAGAACTTACTATCTTAAAGGTCGATTAAATTCAAATATAGGAGGTAAAAAAATAAATATAGAACATACTATCAAGTGTATATAAGGGTATATTAGGTTCCTTCTAAACATAACAATTTGAAGTAATGTGTCAATTACTCATAGCTTTCACAAGCAATCGACTAATTTCTAATATACACCAACAAAATTTAAGCAAAGCAACAAAGCTAAACTAATCAATTATCTCAAAAGTATTAGACTTAGTTACCATAGATGTAAAGCATTCCACTCTTTGTGATGATATTACCAAAGTGATACTATTGCTCATGGTAATGAATAGTACATAACAACTCTTGAAAGAAGTAGCAAACTTGAGTGGACTCGAGTTACAAAGTAAGCGTAGAGCAATGAGACTATCTTGAAATGAGTCTCTTGTTCCCTTTGAAACAAATAATTAGGATTTTATTATGATGGATTGTGGTACATGGATGTGATTATCATTGTAATGACAATGAAGATTAGGTAATCATAATTGTGAATAAATGTATTTGGTTTTTATTGGTTATAGATCTTATGATAAAAAAATGAATCTAGATGTAATTATTTTTTTTTATAATTGTGATGATGGGTGGATCGCTTGAGTAAAAATTTGGATCACTTTGTCATTTTCTTAAATATATAAAGAAGGTTGCAAAAAACTATGCCACTCGATATATAAAAGCTTTTGAGAGTAGTCTCTTATTGACTTCAAGACTTTAGAAAGCTTCATTTTCTTGTATTCTCCAAGTTTTTCCGCTCTTGTATTCTCCACATTCTCTTTTTCAATGAAAATGTGTCTAAGTATCTTTGTCTTACATTAAATTCAATGAAAATGTATCTTAGTATCTTTGTCTTACATTAAATTGTTTTACTTAATCAACTAGCAAAAACTTATGCCATTGGGTATAATAATTTTTGGCCCAACCAATCATATCTTTGTTCATCTTTACTTCGATGTTTCCTTGTTCACATATTTCCTTATTCTCATATTCCTTGATTCCTATATTCTTTATATTTTCCAAGTTTCTTATATTTCCTTCTTCACTACCAACTAAAAGACTTTTTTGTCTCTTTGTGTTGTATCCAAGCTACTTATATAATAGATATGTTTGGTTAGAAATCAAGTTTTTTTTATTGTTTGCCAATCTTATAATTATAAAAAAAAAAAAAAAAAAAAAAAAAAAAAAAAGATTAAATACACTATTCCTATCAATTTTTATTATAGTATAACTTTCTTTGTTTTATAGTTAGCTCCTATAGTTGGGCCAATTGGATGAAATTCCTCTATGTCTTATATCTTTTATATTACCTTCTTGTAATTATATTAGAATATTATTTTTCTAATATAAAATAGTTTATTTTAAAATTTAGTTTTATAATATTGCAATCTTAGAATATTATACATTCTTGTTCATATAATCCCTTTTTATTATTTTACATATCAATTACATATCATTATTTATTGTTCTTTACAAAATATTCTTATACATATATAAATAAATATATAAATATATATATATATATACACACATAATTTAAATTTGTAAGGTTTCAATTCCAAATATTACAGCACATGTTGATTCTTTTTATCACATTTTAAGCTCTCATAAATCATGATATTTTAGTTTTCTTCAAATTTATCCAGAATACTTCTTCCTAAAATCAAACAAAAAAACATAATACATTGATGTACATATTTCTGGAAACTAATATTGTACAAAAGATACAACAAACAGGCAGATATCACGAGTGTTAGTGGTACAATGGTGAATTTTCATGGCACCTTTGGAGTTGTGTGAAACTTCAATCATACCAGTAAGACATGTTCACAGCAGATAGACTTCACTATTGGTAAGTAACTTTTAAGTTGGTACATGACACAATGATCACAATAAAGGATGATCATTTTTTTTGTGTTCGCAAAACCTAGTGCCGCTTAAGTAACATAAGATAAACTAGTTTTTTGTGCTATCTTATTCCTACTCTGTCTGCACAATGCCAACCACTTTTCAAAAGAGCTAGTTAGTGCCCTGCTCTGCTCTGCTCGAAATAAAAGCCTCGCCCATGTAAGAAACCACACGTCCATATAACAGGGAGTCTCCAGTTTGTTCCACCAAGAGTATCACTCAAATTGATGTTCAATTTCTTAGAAGACATTGATTTCCTCATAAACCTGTGACCAATCTCGGTGGATAATGTTGCAAACACAAACAGCGTGGTGATGAATGCGTCTTCGCGTCTCTCCTGCAAAGAGTCTATCAAACTCTTCCATGGTAGAGTGAATATTAACTGTGTAAAGGAACTTGATATAAGTGAGCAGGTCACTTTGAATTCATGCCATCATGCCAACAACTTCAACTTCTAATCGTTGTTCGCACTTCCAAATCTGCCACCCATCTACATTCCCAAACATTCAGGCGCAGAGGGTCAATGACCCGATAATCGCGCCACGAAACATGATACCATTTGGGATAGCACCTCTCCATGTGTCTTACACTTGAGAGACTGTAGTATTCTGAAGTTTACTTCTTCATTTTATCCTGCCTCCTCTTTCGAGCTTTGCTTCCCTGACGCTTAGCCTTCAACTTCTCTTCCGATTGATTGGGCTCTGATTGGGCTTCGGCCTCCTGCTCCTCTAACGGTCCCTCAGAAACAACCACGGAATAAGCCTCAGTTTTCGTTTGCTCAACTTCCTCGGGCTCAGCAATGGATGCCTCAACCTCCTGAGCAGCAGGCTCCTCGACCGAGAGTTCTGTTACAGGTGCATCAACCTCTCCTTCAATGGAATAGGGCTCTAGTGACCCCACAGGCTTCTCTGCAACAGCGTCTTCCACTCCTGGGGCTTCCTTTCCTTCAACAACTGCAATCCCCTCCACAGTAACAACCCCGTCCAGACTCAATCCATAGTATTCTTTCATTGATCTAAAGTCAAGCGAATCAAGTCCATACACCGTGTCTCCTTTAATATCTCCTGCATTCAAGTCTAGCATGTCCACTTGCTCATGCTCAT